AACTCTCTTCGAGTTTTATTTAAACCAGTCTCTTTCTCTCTGCATTTTTTTAAGCTATTTTTATTACTCTCAAATGATTGCACAAACCAGTCTGGATAGCTTTTAACAGATAAGTCAAATGTACATTTAATAAAAGCACACAAACGATATCACTTCCCTCGTTACTATCATGATTGCTGTTGTTAATATTATCTGGTGCAATTTTAGATGCTAAATGGGTGTTTGTTTCTTGAAATGGATCACAGGGTATGTACATACAGCCATATGTATATATGAAAAAAGGTAGCATTTACAAAAAAAACAAAGGTTTGGGGGGGGAGTAAAACAATGTGTAGCATGATGTACCTTCATACTTATGTACAATTATCTAAAATTTGATGCCATTTTTTCTTTTCTTTTTTACTATGTAATAAAAAAAACAAAAAAAAGACTACTAAGCAAGATCAATGACAATGCCCAGGAGAGCTTTCTGCATCATCAATTCAAACAACCCTTAACTGATTAGGACTAAGAGGTACCTCCATACTGAAATACCATTATCTAAAATTTGATACAAACTTTTCTTTTACTGCAATAAAAAAATAAAATAAAAAAGGTGCTAACAAAATCAAGGATGGTACCTAGAACTGTTTCCAAAGAAACAATAACCGATGAGAACAAAGAAATACCCTCAGATTTCAGAAAAATTATCTAAAACTAGTTTTAACCTGTTAAAATTCTATGGTTTTCCTAATATTCTGACGAATCTTAATTCTTAACTTAACCTTTGACACACTAAAATCTTTCTAGAATTATTCCCCCTACCAATCCATTTATTTTTTTTTTTTTTGAGGGTGCAAAATACATGAACAGTGACTGTTTTAAAATTGTTATAACTTTATTTGTATTGTGTGTATAGATTTTATTTTTTGTATATTAATAAAAGAATGAATGAGTAATATTTTGATGTAATGCATTCCATTTTGCATGCATGTTTTGCTGTTGAAAACAAAAGAAATCGAAACACAAAATAAAAAATAAAAAACAAAGACATTAACAATTTAATATGCCTTAACTTTTCTTACACCTTGTGGAGTTCTGGGTTGCAATAAAAAGCAAAATGGCTAAGACGGCTTTCATTTCATTAAAAAAGTGACGTGCTTCATCATCATATATATATATATATATATATATATATATATATATATATATATATATATAAAAAAAGAAAGAACAGTAAGATATAAAACTGTGTTCTTATAGATATTTTATTTTTACAAAATAGTGCTCAATGTAAATTTACAGAGCATTAATATTATAAATTAATTGATTTTTATGTTCAAAAACCATGTTTCAAAAACATTTTGTTTTGAAACATGGTTGGAAACTGTGTTTAAAATAACCATATTTTAAATCAATTAATTTATATATATATATATATATATATAAAAAACAGCATTTGTTTCACCCAACTAGCATATTTATTTGCCACCTTGACAAATAAGGTTATTATTTCATCGTTTATAAAGAGACAAAATAATTCACCTTCAGAAAGGCTACACAAGTAACTTCCATAAAATTAGTCAGGCATGGATGATAGTAGCCACTAGGTCATTATTGCTTTCCTTCATGTCAGTAGCATGGTTATCCTCTTCAACCACTTCACCATCAATATCCATTTGAATAAAGCCTTCAAAATCAACATCAAAGTTCTGTATCAAAGAAAAACTGAATAAAGGTTGCGTTGGATGTTGATGCTGCCATTTTTGCTTACAAAAAATTGTGGAAAAATTAACATGGGTTTAATCAATGTTACACCAAATGTAGAGTCTAGAAGAATTCAAAATGGTGTTGGAAAACAGAAGTTTAGTCTCGTTCCAAAGCAGTAGTAGGCGATTTCCAACTTAAAATACCGGAAATAACGATTAACAAGTGTTTATTTATACCAACTGGCTCAAAGCGAGGAATCCGCCTCAGAGAGAATTCTATGGTGACATGTTTTCCCTCCAGCGTGATAAAGGTTAATTTTTGTGTAAGCTCATGGCAAGTTCTAAAACAATAAAATATCCATAAAAATTTCTGTATTGCATCATCAAATATTTGAGCTTCACAATTTTAACAAAATATTGTAATAACAATCATGAATGAAAATGTTGGTCATTATTTTAAGAGGGTACAAATGAACACATTTGAAACTAACAGCTTTCTCCATTTCACTGAAACAGTCATTAAATATTTCTATCTTACCTTCTTTCTTCCCTTTCCTCACTGAAACCAAGTAGTGCCTGCCCCCCCCCTTCTTTCCACACAACCAAACAGAATAGTCCATTATTTATTAAGTATTGGCAGGAGTTGTTAAACACTTTCTTTCTTTATTTCCTCCTTACTTCCTTTATTCATTCCTTTCTTTTTTTCTCTCTTTCATTTTCTTACTGAAACCAAGTAATGCCTTTTCCCCTCTTTCCATGCGATCAAAATGGACTAGTGTATTATTTATGAAGTAGTGACAGGGTATGACAGTTATGCAAACTAACAAAGAGAGAACCAAAGATAATAATACAATTTTTCTTTTACTAATATGCAATCTTCAAAAAAATAAAACTGTATAAAATGACTGCAGATACCAGTGTGTGTGTATATATATATATATATATAAGTAGACAGTCTATTTATTAATTAAATTATTGAAAAAAAGATTTTTTTCATTAATTTATCATCAACTGACTTGTTTGTAAATTTGTTGTAAATTTTATTTCAATTTACAAGGTGAAAATGATCATTAACCTAATGTAATCTTAATTCCTATTGTATAAAATATATCACTCTGTTTAAATTACAAATATTGAGCTCTATATGTGATTCAGTTTTAATATTTTATATTGTATTAATAGGATTCACTTGGATTATATACCTATATATATATATATATATATATATATACATATAGGATGCAATGAATAAATTGTCATCTAAATTATGCAAAAATGAAAATAACACTGACATCTCATTTTAACAGATATATTTACCAAAATTATACAAAAACATCTTGAAAAACTAAAGAGTAAATTTTTTTTCTATTAAAAAAAAAAAAAAAAAAAAAAATCACCACTGGCTTCAAGGATGGCCTCCGGAGAACTTTGGAATCTCCTGCCACACTTCTGGACAGTCTCCTTGTTTAAGCTGGTGAATGCTGCCATAATCTTTGCCTTCAGTTCATCTTTTGTGTTACAAGGAGCTTTATTGGTTTCTCGCCAAACTACATCCTGACACATAATAATCAAAGGTGTTGCAGTTGAGAAGCTAGGTGGCCAGGTGTAAGGGATAACGTGGTTGCAAAAATTGTCTGACAGCCAGGACTGGGTTCTCCTGCTTCTGTGGCATGGTGCAGAGCCCTGTTGCTCTTGACCCATAGCAGCACTACCTCCTCAAGGGCTCCGTGTTGAGTCTGAGGCCCCCACCAACAAATTCATCTATCAGAACGATCAGAGTGAGTTTTCCAAGCTGCCGTAAGTTCATACATCCTCTGCACTGTCTTCAGATTGCCATCCAAATACTGAAATGTTCATATTGGACCATCCGCCACAAATGCCAAGAAGTACAGCATGCCGTTTCCAAATTTCTGGAGGAGGAATTTGCGTCATGGTGCTCTCTTTCGCACAGATGGTTCCCAACTGACTCTACTATACTGTGCAGTTGACAAAATAAAAAACAAACAACACACATGCACAAAATTAAAAATATAAAATGGCGACAATTTACCCATCGCACTCTGTGTGTGTGTGTGTGTGTGTGTGTGTGTGTGTTACACCACTCAGAAACCTTCAAGTATTTCAAACAAAATGAAATAAATGATTCATGTAATGGTAGAGGAGACATTTAAATAAATAAATAAATAAATAAATAACTACTGTTATGCTCCTTAATCCCAAGGTTCAAGTTCTGAATTAGGGTAGCGTTTACTTAACCCCTTTCCCAGCATAGTTGCGTATATATGTTTTACTGAAAATGTCTTTTTCAGACAAAGATGTATAAACACTTCCAAAACATAATATTCAAAAACCAGCTACAGATATGTTTGTATGTTGATCTTGATTCTCTTTATGCCCTTTTGAGCTTGAAATAAGTCCAATTGACGACCCATACATCTGGTAGAAGTGTTAGCCATCACTCAAGTACTTCAGAGTGCCTTAGTTTCTTAATTACTATACTAAAAAAAAAATTATATCTGAAAATGAAATCTTTTCCCAAAATAATTAGCAGAGAAAGGGTTTAATTATCTATTTCTGCTTCCAACATGACAAAACAAAGGTGACATTGGCTTTTAAGATCATCAAAATTTTTAACTGCCATAAATTGTTATTTGATTTGAAATCACTCATCATCCACCTTGAAAAGACACTCTAGCTTTTGTGTCAATGCTATTTTCTGAACTTTAGTTCATAAAACTATAAATTCAAAAACTACACAGAGAATGTGATGTTTTAACGAGGAATATGTAGATTTACTTCTGTAAGAAAACAAAGTTCAAGTAATATCTTACCTGAAAGGAGATGACTTATTCTCAAAGGTCAAAAAATAATTGTGACTCACCTGTAATAAAAGGAAGAACAAAAAAATGGCATCAGTGATATTAATGATATAAACATAGTAAACATTAAGAAAACGGTTCATTTAATCCAGAAATTCCAAGAGAGTGTGAAGGACTTGTACTCAGTTACTCCAGTTCTTTCGCATCGCCATAAGGTAACTTTCCAATGCACTATTTACATTATTCAGACTATTGTCCTCATCCTTGTCACCATATTTATTACATTTCGGCCATTGTATGCTCCAGCCTTCTTCAGGTGGTTGGAATGTCGAACTGAACCCTTTATTTCATTCACCAGGGTAGACTGTTCTAGTTCCATGGATGTCAGTTATTAGTTATCTCCTGTTAATTCCCCTCTACAAGTTCTCCACTGCCTTGACCAGGTATTGAACTAACACTCTTTGGGTCCTGTCACTGGATCTAACCAACACCTTTATCCACTGTGCCAGAGAGAGAGAAATGTGGAGAAACGAGAGAGAGAGAGAGAGAGAGAGAGAATGTGGGAAACGAGAGAGAGAGAGAGAGAGAGAGAGAAATGTGGGAAACGAGAGAGAGAGAGAAATGTGGGAAGAGAGAGAGAGAAATGTGGGAAACGAGAGAGAGAGAGAGAGAGAAATGCGGGAAACGAGAGAGAGAGAGAGAGAGAAATGTGGGAAACGAGAGAGAGAGAGAGAAATGCGGGAAACGAGAGAGAGAGAGAGAGAGAAATGCGGGAAACGAGAGAGAGAGAGAGAGAGAGAGAAATGAGGGAAACGAGAGAGAGAGAAAAATGGAAACGAGAGAGAGAGAAAAATGCGGGAATGAGAGAGAGAGAGAAAAATGCGGGAAACGAGAGAGAGAAAAAATGGAAAAACGAGAGAGAGAGAAATGCGGAAAATAGAGAGAGAGAGAGAGAAATGAGGGAATGAGAGAGAGAGAGAGAGAGAGAGAGAAATGGGGAATGAGAGAGAGAGAGAGAAATGCGGGAAACGAGAGAGAGAGAGAGAGAGAGAGAGAGAGAGAATGAGAAACGAGAGAGAGAGAGAAATGCGAGAAAGAGAGAGAAATGGGAAACGAGAGAGAGAGAGAGAGAGAGAGAGAGAGAGAGAGAGAGAAATGCGGGAATGAGAGAGAGAGAGAGAGAGAGAGAGATGGAAACGAGAGAGAGAAAGAGGGAAATGAGAGAGAGAGAGAAATGCGGGAAACGAGAGAGAGAAGAGAGGAAAGGAGAGAGAGAGAGAGAGAAATGGGAAACGAGAGAGAGAGAGAGAAATATGGAAATGAGAGAGAGAGAGAGAAATGCGGGAAACGAGAGAGAGAGAGAGAAATGCGAAAACGAGAGAGAGAGAGAGAAATGAGAAACAGAGAGAGAGAGAGAGAGAAATGCGGAAACGAGAGAGAGAGAGAGAGAGAGAAATGGGAAAGAGAGAGAGAGAGAACAAGAGAGAAAGAGAGAGAGAGAGAAATACGGGAAACGAGAGAGAGAGAAATACGGGAAACGAGAGAGAGAGAAATGCGGGAAACGAGAGAGAGAAATGTAAGGAAGGGGAGAGAGAGAAGGAGAGAAATCTAAGGAAGGATTTATCCACTGTGCCAGAGAGAGAGAAATGCAGGAAACGGGACACAGAGAGAGAAATGAGGGAAACGAGAGAGAGAGAAAGAAATGCGGGAAACGAGAGAGAGAAATGTAAGGAAGGGGAGAGAGAGTGAGAAGTGAGTAAAGAGAGGAGAGAGAGAAGAGAGGAAATATACACATACAGCATGTTCAACTGATGATTAATCCATTTTTGAATATAATACATTTTTTTACCCAGAAAATATTTCAACATTTTGATTTGTATCCATCATTTAATCATTTGTAATCATATATATATATATATATATATATATATAAAATTCTGAGTTCATCAGAGTACTAATGTGTCAAAGGAGTGTTTAGTTGTTATTTTAAACCAGTAACCCAAACATTAAGGCATAAAATGCAGGATGATTTTTTTTTTTTTTTTTTTTGTTTTTGAAAATGAGAGCCTTATTTATCAGGAAATAATCATGAGTGCAGTGCAATGGCAACTCGACTTCTCCCATTAGAACTTTCTAAATTCTTTGTGCAAGATTATATTACAGAAATCCTGTGCATTCAATTTTGAAGAATTGCATTTTTGTTTCTTTTTACTCTCCAAATCTATATGAATTCTCTTCCTCCCAGCTGCCATGACACTTCAGGATGTAGCGAATTCTATAGAAGGCTACTAAAAATTCCATGGATAGAGTAAGCAACAAGGAAGTCTAAAACAAAGTGGGAACAGAAAGAACACTTCTATTCAGAATCAGGAAAAGACAGCTGAAATTCCTTGGACACATAATGAGGAAAGAGGGCTTGGAAAACTTAAACCCCACAGGACATACTAAGGTCAAGAAAGATAGGGGAAGGCAACAAGCTGATGAGCTTGTGTGAATGGATGGTGAAACAGGGAAAGGATCATTAGCAAAGAGAGAAAAACTGATAATAGCTGCATGAAAGTTGTGGAGAGCCATAATCGCCTATGTAGTGAAAGGATGTGGCACATAAAAGTAATGTAATGTATATGAGCATAAAAAGTGGAACCAGCAAGGTGAGTTCAAATTCTGGGTTAGTCTATTGCATTCACTTGTAATGGCATGAATACATCTCTTCCTCCTGCTACGGGTTAAATAGCAGCGTAAACTAGACTCTCTAGTCTTGGATAGCAAGCAGTGGAAAAGAAGGAAAACTAAATTCTAAAATGTTGATTGATTTGTTTTCTACAGATTAACATTTTGAAGGTTAAAGACAGAAAATATTTTTAGATTGTAAGAAAATATTTTTAGATTTTAAGATTTTTTTTAAAGATAATAGTGGTTTAACGATACAAGTCTTACTAATTAACCCATAGATGAGGGGGAAGTGGATTCATATCTTCCCCAAGAGTATTTGTAAGTGAATAAAATGAAACCAACTGGAATTGGAACTCCTTTCTCTGAAATTCTAAAATGTAAAGGCAATAGAAAATCACTGCACTATAATTCCCAAGAATGTACGGAAATTTCCAGATAAAGAAAAGGAATATGGACAAAGTCCTGATCATCCAGGAAGAGGAGTGGCATTTAAAAAAAAAACAAAAAAAAACGCAATATCATGATTATTCTTATAAATGATTGCAACAACAATTTCTCTTTCGTTTCTCGTCAATTTTAAACTCATTTTCTTTACCTCAAGTAATTGCCAACCAATGAAAGGAAGCCCAGATTCATGTGCTATCTTGTGCGAACTTAAAAAAAAGTTTCAGGGGAGGGCGATAAAAAGTACCCTGAGAAGACTTAAAAAGTTTAATCAGCCCAGTGGGGACTGAACACCCAATCAATGTCTTGCAAGATCTGAAAACAAAGAACTGAAGCTGATTCTACTGGCTTAAATATTAGAATATCTATCAATTCTGCTCATGCACAAATGAGAGAGAACTGGGCATACTGACATTAAATGGGGTATCAATCTCAAAGCACTAAAGAAACCAGAGTTTTAGTAATCTATTTTAATCTTTCGCTTTATCATCATTGTCTTATTATAATTCAGTTTGTTTTTTGTTTTTTTGGTAAATCAGAATCGTCCCAAGCAAGGCAGTAATGCCACTAAAACACAAGGTGTTACAGGGTATAGAAGAATTAGGGAAAGAAACATTAATAATGAGCAAGAAGAGAAAAAAGTAATCAGGTGGACAGTAGATAGCAATTGATATTGCATTTAAAATTTTGCAGATTAAAGTTGGCTAGGAAGCATAGAGCCAGAAAGAAGTTCCATAAGCGAGAAGTGCGAGAGAAGAAACTGTTAGCATAGAACTTACGGCTACATCTAGCCAGCTCAACTGTAAATTGATGGAGATCTCGACACCAGTCTATTGCTGCACTTAAAATTCAGAAACTCTAACAAAAAGTTCATTTGAACAATTACCATGAAAGTATTTATAGAAAAGACATAGAGGCAGTAGGAAAGCAACTGGAGCTGAGCCGCCAGATCAGGACCAATAATATTGCAGATTATTGTTTGGAGCTTATCAAGGAGCTAAAAGGTAAATAGCAGAGGTACTGGACCATATGTGGCAGCAATATTTTAAGTATTGATGAATGGTAGACTATAGATTTGTAAATCCATTACTTTCCCTTCATTACTTCCTTAATTGGCACATAAGTTACATCCTGCCAATACCTCATAAATAATGGAATTTTGATAACATGGAAATATGGAAAAGACATATCAGAGATGATACTTGGTTTCAGTGAGAAAATGAAAGAAAGAAAGGGAAGATAGACGAGAAGATAACACTGTTTAATGTCTATTTCAGTGAAATAGAAAAGTTAACAGTTTCGAATCTTTTCATTTGTATCCCCTTACTTCTTAAAATAATGAGCCACATTTATATTTATGATTGTTATTGCAATATTTTGTCAAAGTTGTTAAGCTCAAACATTTAACTATCAGATAAGAGAATTTCTACATATATTTTATTGTTGTAGAACTTGCCATGAACTTATTCAATCATTGACTTAAGATTTAGTGGAAAAGAAAACCATGAAATTTTCACAGGTATTTCTAGTTATTTTTGCAAAATAGGTTCACCTGTTGTCCAGTTCACACTTCATCCTGATCTTTTGAACAGGAGTAAAGGTTTATCACTTGTTTCCTGTTTAGGATCAAGTTTCCAGTTCCTTCTAAAGTATTTTTCATTCTCTTTCACTCCCAGTAGCACATTGAATCTTAGTGGCATTATTACCTTGCTTGGGGTGAATTGATTAAGAGAGAAAAAAAGGTGGAGGGGAGCATTGTTTATTTCTGGAATGTCCCCATTTTTATGACACAAAAACTTGAGATTAAGTGGTCAAAACACTGAAATTTATAAATAAATTAAAAAAAAAAGCAAGACAAAGGTAACTGTCAGAATGAATTAACATAAAATACAATAACTTGTACCTACTAGTATCTGTCTATATTTCCGAGATGAGGTATTATGTACACTATTTACAATGCTCGGACTATCATCCTCATCTTTGTTGCCATATTTATCACAATGTTTTGGCTGTTGTACCACCTGAAGAAGGCCGGAGTGTACAACAGCCGAAACATTGTGAGAAATATGGTAACAAAGATGAGGATGATAGTCCGAGCAATGTAAATAGTGTACTACCTACTAGCTTAGCGTGTTCATGTTTAGCCTGCAACAATCTGCTGTCATAGTTATTTACCAAATTTAATCTGTCTACTTGGTTTTTGTTTTTAACTAAAATTCACCCAATACAAGGCTCATGAACCACTCCAGGTAGAGATGAATGAAATGCCTGATATGAAAGAAAGAGGAGATAGTAGAAAGTGAGGTTAAGGAGGATAGCTAGAAAATGACCTTTGACTTGATGAGGTTAAGATTGAAGCATAGAGTGTTACTGTTAAAAATTGTAATGGTGAATGAGGCATGTGATATGAATGAAAGAAGAGGTTAAGTTAGGATAAGAAGGCTACATAACTACCTTTGACTTGAAGCAATTAAGAGTGCAGTGTAGAGATTACTGTTGAAAATTGTAATGGTGAATGAGGTGTGTGACATAAATGAAAAAGGAGGTAGTATGTGATGAAGACTATGAGGATAAGAAGGATAGATAACAATTGACCTTTGACTTGATGAGGTTAAGATTGAACTGTTCAAGAAGCATACACACAGGAGTCTCTTCTACAAAATAGCACTTCTTGAGAAAAAGCTGTTTGAGTGGAACTTCCTCCTTACAATTGGAATATAGAGGAAACGAGGGTGATTTGATTCTGTCGATATAGTACGGTGATTCCTTGCAGTAAAGGTCTGAACAGGTGGAACTAAAGACAGGAGTTTCTCTGAACATTGATATGAGAGTAGCGATAGGTTTGTGACATTGAGTCTGTAGGAATGAAGCTGCAGGGTGAATAATATGCCATCCTCCCACAACACCATTTAAACAATTTTGAACTTTATCAAGGCTGAAAAATGAGGATTAGGAAGCTCCAGTCAAGCTATAGCAGAAATACTCTGTTTTTGGTTGAATCATTTCATACCAAAGGCAATAAATAATGCCACTCAGACACAGCATGTTACAGAAAGTGAAAGAGGATGAGAAAACTTTAATTAGGAGGGGCAAGGAAACAGCAATAAAGGAATAGAGTCCAGGAAGATAGAAGATGGCAATTAACATTGCATTTAAGTTTTTGAAGATTGTATGTAGGTGGAGGTACGGTGGAGTAGTGGATAGCGGCACGGATTGAGAAATCTGAGAGCCAAGTTCAAATTCCAGTTGAATCCATTATATTCACTTTCATGCTAATATTCTTGGGAAAGGTATGAATCCTCTTCTCCTGCCAGCAATGGGTAAATAGCAGGACAGATCAGGTTCTATAGCCTTGGATGGCAACTGGTCTACCGCAGAAAGAAATGGCAACCTACTGCGGCAAAAAATCTGCTTTGTCAGTCATGTATCAAAAGATACATGATCGCCTAAGGATGTATCACATATGGCACATAACTGACTGATGTAGGTGTTAGGGAAGCAAGAAATTGGAAGGGAGTTCCTCATGCAAGAAGTGCTAGAAAAGAAATTGTTAGCTAGTTCAACAGTAAAATGGTGAGACCTACTTGTCAATCTAGTGGCACACTTAAATTCACATAGTTGGGACAACAGGGGAAAAAAAAGCTCACCAGAACAGTTGCCATGAAAATATTTGTAGAA